ATGAAACGAAATATTTACTTATTCGCTATTTAAATCTAGGGCAAGTTCATTTACAATACGTATACTTTCACTGAAATTTTTTATTAGAGTTTCCTTTATCGATTTATTACTTCGTTAGTAAGTAAAAGAGATAGCTCCTGTTTCAGGAATATAAATTTTAGTAGATAAGACGTCACTGTTATATAATTTCGTAAGGTTTATTACATTACTTTAAATCTGAATAGGTAAATTTTAAATGTAAATTTTAATCATTTGTGCGATATAAAGACAATTAAATTTCTAGTTTATTAGTCCATTTACACTATTCCATTTCTGTTTTTGTAATTGAAATTGTAATTTTTACTAAAATTTTTACCCAACCTAAATACATTATTAGATTAAAATGATTACATTTTAAATTTCCTTTAAATTTATTTAATGATAATCCGTTTAGTTTATTTTTATTTATATTTAATGACACACAATAACAGTACACTTATTTCAAAAAATATATTATATGAAAGTTTATTAGGATATTTTAATGTTTGTATATTTTATTTTATTTAATATTAGTTACGAAAAACATCTTCTTGATACTAAAATGATTCTGTACACTAACATAATACTTATAAAGTATTTGTCCTATATACGTTATTGGATTCTCGATCCACTAAGTCAAGCGACTTGTTACGACGGAGAACCATTTTTCGATCAAACTTCTAAATTAATTTTGAAGTTTCCGTCTGACCAGCGCTCTGTTGAAAGCTTCGAACTAGCGCAAAAGCCAACTGTTGACCAATCTAGTCGTAAAGTCATAATTTTAAAGCTAAAGTTCAGTGAAATGACTGTTGGAAATGTCGCTGTTTTGATATTTTGAATAATAATATGCGAGTAAGCGGTCTGAATTATAAAAAAAAAACTATATTTTGTTTTCAAATTGTGAATCTTTGAATGAATAAATAGTATGCATATCATTTTAACTTTTAATTAAATTTTCCAGTTTTAACTTTCCATCGTGGTGTTCAACCTAACGAAACAGAATATCGCAAGGCATAACATTTGTTAGAAAGGGACAGTTACTATTGCGGACTTTTGTGTACCCATTTTATAATTTTTAACAAAACTAGATTATAAATGAATGGTGTTGCTATTTATACTGCAGAATTAGGAACGTTGTCCTACTGCGTGTTAACAAACTCATTTATGTACAATTAAATCCTATACCTTTAAACGAAAACTTCTTGTACACACACATACACTTACACTATATATATATATATATATATATATATATATATATATATATATATATATATATATATATATATATATAATCGGAATCCCGGAAACGGCTCCAACGATTTTCATAAAATTTAGTGTCCTGGGAGTTTCGGGGTAATAAATCGATCTAGCTAGGATTTATTTTTAGAAAATGTCTTTTTGTCCGTGTTTTCAGGCAATGCAAAACTGCTACAATATAAGAAGGTAAATTTTGACACTATGATAATGATTGTAATAGCTCAAGTGGATATCGAGCGGTCGCAAAATCCTAATGCCTTGGTTTGCGTCCTATCTTCGGCCCAACTTTTTGTCCTTTTTTTTAAGTTCCCTTATTTTGTGAGAAAATCTATTATTTTGAGCCTTTTTTGGTATTTTTTTAAAATACGAAAATTTTAATTAAACTAATTGCACTCATGATTTTTTATTCAAATAACCAGTTCAGTTTTTTCTATTATGTCAATAGGATCAAAAAATATTATTCACAATTCATCAGTATGTAATTTGTATCTGAATATAATTTCAAAAAAAAAAAAAGCAGAGCTCGGTCATCCAGGTACTTTTTATAAATTTAGGTGTGCTTACAATGTTTTAAAAGTAATAGCTCACAATGTTTTTGTTACCACCGCGTACTTTAAAAATCAAACTCTAAAACCATTTCGTTGGTATCGGCCTAGATCCACCTTACGTTTTTTCGTGTATTATGCAGGCTCTCATTTCCTAAACTGCCACAGGACTTCTTACAGCACGACTTAAACATTATTGCTATTTCCGATTTATAAATCTGTAATATTATCTTATCGAAAACTCATACGTGCATTAAATATTTTTCAACAATACTATTGCTTCTTTTAGGTATGCATGATTGTAAGAAAACAGTTTATACCTTACAATTGAAAAGACGATATATAAGACTTTTCTCATTAAGGTAAAAGATTTTATAAGTTGTTTCGTCTTTTGATATGGCTGATATTTTATTTTAAGGAGTGAGTTAAGTTGTTTTAATGCTTTTAAATATTTTAATGATGACTTCAGCAGTTAAAACTTTCTTCAAAATGTTTTGACGTGCACTCAGTGTTTTAGAGCTTTTTTATCTACCATCTCCATTTTAAAATTCCTTTGAAGTTTTTTCACTCACTAAATATTTCTCCTAGTTTTTATTTTACTACTAAATATATCCTGACTTTGCAGAAAAGCATCTTTCCTTTTTATTTCCTTTAATTCAAAATGAAAATATATCCACGCTTTTGTTATCATAATTGCTTTGTAAACAAAAATATGCAACAAAATAGTTTTAGCGATTTCAGTATACTGCATCAAAACTATTCGATCCTGATAGTTATTTTTATGCAGTACTTTATCCTTTTATTGTTTTAATAATGCAGAGTAATCAGCAAATGAGCTACACCCTTTCTAGCCCTCTGGAATCTCTCTACTCACTAGGGTAGGATAAATACTGATAATATGCTTTCTTTTGCAATTAGCTGTAATAATATACAGGTATGCAAACACATAATAAAAAATATAAGATAATAATAATTTATTATTGCTTACATGCACCTATATTTTTATCATTTTTCTTTTGCATATCTTAGATCAATGTACACTTATTGGTGCCGTTTATGCGTGATACTTATTACATACACTACATATTACCTACACCACTTATTACATACAATACATACTTATTTTCATATTAATATTATTAATATTATTATTATTCATGTAAATACATTTTAAAGTTTCATATTCAGTAATTATAAAAAGAGTCCATGTACAAAGTAAAGGCAGTGCCTTATTTATTGAACCTGTGAGATTTTTTATTGAAATATCTAAAGGTGATAAACAATCACATAGTCCACCTTATGTAAAGTAGATGATATAGTCCATAGACGCGTACATCTTGAAATCAAAATGCAAATGCCCGGTAGTCATCCCTAAGAGCTAAGAGAATTAGACGCAATGACACATTACTGTAGTTTGTGCCAAATCGATTGACAAAAACGGACGATAACCTCAGATATGAGCCAAGTGTCAAAAGGCGTAGCTTAGAAATTCTCAATTTAGATGTGATAACAATATTTAAATATTGATTTTATTCACACTTCTAGGTCAGCACATATGTTTTGTTTTTTTTTTGTTTCTTAAATAATATTGTCTGTGGTTCCTATAAATATCGTAAAATCTTACGGTACATCGCGAAAAATGTGTTATATTTTATATTTCAATTTATGGTAAGTAACGCTGCAATTCATATAATAACAGTTTCATATAAAAAAAATATTTGAAGCAATATAATCACCATATTGAGCTTTTGCAAATTCATCTTTCTTCATCATTCATAATTCTGAGTTAAATATTACTCTCTATTACCTATTCTATTGTTTTCTTTAAATTTTCTTCATTGAAAATTTAAAGAATAGATTAATCTGAGTTAATTATCTCTATTACCTATTCTATTGTTTTCTTTAAATTTTCTTCATCGAAAATTTAAAGAATAAGAAAAGAAAGAGTAAACTGCAGCTGCAGTCTTAAATCTAAATATGGCAACGTCTAAAAGTTTATATTTTTCTTTACGAAATAAAACGAATAAGATATTTGGTCTTTATGTTTATTTTTATTTACAGCTTATAATATAATAAACTAATTAAATGCATAAAATTTACAAGTTCCATACAATATTTTTACACGACATATGTTTCAAACTTAGTAACAAAGTACTACCGCTCTATGAGTCATAAAATGGGTCTCATATTACAGAGCTCTATTGTAAAATGTGTGATTATTGCTAGCCCATTTACTTCTTAGCATTTTAGTATATGATAAAAGGAGAGAGAAATATTTCAACGGTTAAAATAGCGCGAAATGTGTCTTACTGGTCTGCGCTCGTTTCCCGGCGGGTCCACAGTATCGGCCACAATCTTCAAGTCAATCAACAAGCCATCTTGACATCCACCGGGATATGAGCGTACAACAGACAAATTAATGCTTTTGTTGTTAAATGACCCTTTTTACTGGAAAAGAGGCATTCCATTTTAGTCCTCAAGGCTGACAACGCATCTTCATTTTAATTCGCAAACGAGGATAGATGTAGATGTCTATGGGCCACAGCAACCACTTACACTCAGGTGGAATGTGTGCTCGCTTGTCACCCTTTTCCTATAAAAAAATGAATAAAGTACTTTATAACAATAGATGATTTTTCTTCTAAGGCGAGCTTTTACATAACTTTTTAATATCAAAAACACGCAAAAATGCCCAAGTGTGACAACTGTGACAAAATAATAGCCAAAAAATCCGCTATTTTCGAGTGCAACACATGCTCAAAAACTGTGCATGCTACCCAGGTCTGCACCAGCCTAACATCTAAGCAATTAGCAGCACTGCGCAACACTGAGAATCTGGAATGGACCTGCGAAGTTTGTCGCCGTGAAACTTCAAGGCAAAGGTCATTTGTCATACAAGAGGAGGAAGAGGAAGACGACGAGGAACTGTTATTAACACAGGGAACTGACAGCGGATCCAACGCGATGAAAAAGTTACTAAGCGACATATCATTCGAGGTTAAAAAAGCAGTAAAGAAAGAAATAGGCTCAGTAAATGAAGCGCTCAGCTCTTGTTGTCAAAAAATTGATGGAATAATGGACAGTTTAGCGACGATTAGCTGAAAAATAAAAGAACTGGAAAACAAGAATACATAATTAACAAACCAAAATAAACATCTAGAGCTGAAAATCGATGCTATGGAACAATACATTAGAAACCTTGCGCAAAAACAGCTTAATAACACATTTGAAGTCGCAGGAGTACCCGAAATAAAAGACAAAAATACGGAAATTATCCTAAATATACTAGCGACGAAGTTAAATATTGTAAAAAAAGAAATAACTACAGTTAAAAGATTGAAAGGGAAAAATAGAAAGGAGGGCGTGATCCAGGTATCTTTGAAACAGGAGGAACAAGTGGACCAGTGGATAAAAGCAACAAGAAAAGTAACTACACTTGCAGAGGACATCGTTTCCTGTCCAGATCCTGCTATAGCAAGAACAAAGATAATGATACGACGTGCCCTATCCAGTGCAAATTAAACCCTTTTGTGGCAAGCTAAGCAAAAACTTAAGGTTACTTATAAATATATATGGTTCCAGGGTGGTAGAATTTTAGTTCGTAAGGATAATAACGATAAGCCTGTGATCATCCGAAACCTAAGTGATATAGACAAAATGGCGGTGGAGCATATTGTATATGGTGTGGGGCGAGTCGGTAGTAGAAACTTTACGCACTTGGCACTACTTTGGAAGTAACTGAAATTTATGATTCGGCAAATTTATGTGAATTTAGTACCTATCTACCTAAACATACTAATCTTTTTAATATTGTACATATAAATATTAGATCTATTATCAAAAACTTTAGTGCATTACTCCAAACAGTAAACCAATCACCAATAGCTATAGACGTCATTATACTAACTGAAGTAGGAATTTCAATAAGTAGTAATGTTTCTCAATTATTTTCTATAAACGGTTATGAAATGTGCAGTATGCTTCGTGAGCAGCGACGTGGTGGTGGTATTATAGTGTACATTAAAAATTTCCACAGTTTTGAAGTAGTAAACAACTTAAAATTAACCCACTGTGAATCATTAATTGTAAACATCCAATCTTGCCACCACTACACGACTCACATTTGCGCATTATATCGACCGCCTAATGAAAGCAAGCATCTCTTTATTAATGAACTTAAAGTACTACTATGTCACAATTTAATCAAAAACTCTGACTTGTATATGATCGGAGACATAAATATTGACCTGGAATTAAAATATAACATTCATGATTACTACTTAAGCTGCTTGGCCGAGTGTGGTCTGACGAGAGCGATTTCTGATTTTACAAGAATAGAGATTCGAACGCGGAGCTTTTGACCACATATTCGCGAGATCGCGCACGTCTTACATCTACTCGGTTGCGCTTGGAACAGTACTGGCAGATCACCGCATGTGCGTGCTATTGTGCGCCGGAACTGAGGCTACCAGCAGCAGCGTACAGGCTGAGTCAAAACCCAAACAATTAATTAATAACAAAAAAATTAATATCACTTCTCGAAAACGTCGAGTGGAATAAGATTGATAATATGCAGTGTCCGATAGAGATATATAACTTTATTCAAAATAGCTTTGAATACTGTTATAATAATTCTAAATATACTACAAAGAATAGCATAAATAGTAAAAGAAATAAGGAAAGATGGATAAATAATATGATAAAATTTTACTGCAAAAAAAGAGACTACCTGTATAATAAGTGGAAAAAAGATACAACCGATAAAATACTAAGACTAGAGTTTAATAAAATTAGGAATAAAACACATAAACTTATTGAAATGTCTCGAAACAAATACTATTATCACGAAATAAATAACAACAGAAATAACCCAAGGAAGCTATGGTATATTCTGAATTCCATCACAGGCAGAATAAATAAATCATTAGATGCGGCGATATTAAAGGCTTTTCAAAAAAACAAATTAACAGCTAAACAATTGGCAAATAATTTTGGTAAAGATTTTGTTAAAAATAAAAATACTACCCAACTGTAAACAAAATCTTTTAGATCAAGCAGAGTACATATTTCCTCAGAATAGTTCAATGCGGTTTAAAGCAGCAGATGGCAAGAGCATAAATAAAATAATCCAGAAATTGAACACAAACAAATCCGCTGGAGCAGACCAGATTCGCTGTATAGACATAAAATCCTTATGTAAAAAAATCACAACAGCAATTGCAAAGTTGATTAATACTAGTATTCATTCTGGTATTTATCCCTCAGAATTAAAGGTAGGAATAGTGAGACTATCTACAAAAAGGGGTCGCACTGTGATTATGACAATTATAGGCCAATTACAATACTTCCTGTGATAGATAAAATAGTTGAAAAATATATATGTATTCAGATACATAAATATTATATATCGAATGACGTTCTGTCCAGCACCTAGTTTGGCTTTCAAAAAATAATTCAACTACTTCTTTGTTAACAAAATTTACCGATTAAATTAATACTCATTTAGACAATAAACAACACATAATTCTTTTATTTATTGACTACAGCAAAGCAATTGATACTCTGAAACACGATTTATTAATACAAAAACTGGAAAATACAGGCATACGCGGGCCTTTGCTCAGGTGTTGTGAAAATTACCTCAAAGATAGAAAATACCGGGTGAGAATTGAAAATGATTACAGTGATGAAATACCTGTAACTACGGGAACCGCTCAGGGATCGGTTCTTGACCCTTTACACTATCTGGCCTTTGTAAATGATATGGGGAATGTGATTAAACATAGTTCAGTGTATCAATATGCAGACGATACTTGTCTAGTAATAACTAATAGACATAACAAAAGCGTATAAAATGTTACAACATGACTTTACTAACCTCTGTATGTGGTCACATGACGCGGGACTCGTATTAAATTCTGGTAAAACTAAAATTATACATGTACGCTCGATGCACTCTAACAAATACGAAAGACCAATAAAAATACTAGCACACAGCCACGACTGCCTTCATAGTTCATCTAAATTAAATACTCACCGTAATTGTAATCCTCTAGAACAAGTTAACACTTATAAATACCTAGGTCTGATTGTGGATGAAAGATTCAATTGGGGTAAACACGTTGAGCATGTATGTAACAAGCTACGGGCTATGCTAGCAAAGTTTGCAATACTAAAATACAAAATGCCATTTCCCATCCTTATAAATCTGTTTAACGCTTTGCTGAGTCTCTTATTTCTTATGGCATTACAAGTTATGAAAAATCATTTAAAACTTACTTTGATAAAATATATAACCTACAAATCAGAATATTGAAAATAATTATACCTAAGAAAGTAAAAACAAAAATATACAGTGAAAACAATATTAATGCAATATTTAAATTTTGCAAAATATTGCCTATACACACGAAATTTCAGATGTTAATACTAATAGAACAATTTCACAATAAAAAAAGTGCAAGTTAAAACTAACCCTAAAACTATTACAAGAAAAGTTATACAAAATAAACTCGTAACACCTACAATATATAACTACTATGGTAAACGTACAAATAGATATTTAATTCCTACTTTAATGAACCAAATACACCCCACGATACTCTCAGATATCAATGAAGATAACTACAAAAACAAATTCAAAAAATATTTCTATGAACAGCTACAACGGGAGTAAATAAATATTGAATATAAAATTAAATAATATACTTATAAAATCATCAATTAATTGTTCTAATTTTTATAAATATATGTACATATATCTCTTATATTTATAGATTAAATATGTATACTTGCAACTAAAATAAAAACAAATCAAAAATGAAAAACTATAAATAATAATAAAAAAAGATCAACTCACAGTTTTTGCACCAACCTGTATACTGCTTCTGAAACTAAATAATCCGAGCGCCCGATAAGAATGATCAAATTGTCACGCTCACATTCGTGGGCTCACAGAAACCGGTTTTTCTGTCAATACGGCCCGCCGGTGATTTGCAATTACGGTGATTTGAAATTTATCACTTAAATATATGTACGTATTTACTTAATATTATTGTTACTGTTTATAAGCAGCCATCAATTAGATGATTGTATTAATAGTTTGTATAATTTATGTGATTGTACTATACCTTTAATTGTGTGAGACTGTAACTTGCGGACAAACCTCACGGTTTTTGCAAGTTAATTACATTTAACTCATGTATTTACTATAATGATATAAATAAATAAAAAAAAATGTTAATAAATATGTATTATATCAATCATTATAAAAAAATCATTATAAATAAATAAAGTACACATAAAAAGTGCCTATATATTGAAGGTTTGTAGCCCCTGGTTAAACGACCGAAATTTCAATGTCCGTTTTTCTCAATCGATTTGGCACGAACTATAGTAAAATAAACATCTCAGCTTCTCGTCATTCACCGTACCTGGTCTAGCCGATATAGTCCGAAGCCATAATACGCTACGATCTTTAAACGACATTACAAGATCATACGATATGACAACTTCCTCCTATATAATTAATCGCAACGTAAATAAATATCAGGTAATCTAATTTAAAGAAATGAAAACAAAAAAAAAAACACTCTGTGCACAAGTGGAGGGCAAAACATTACAAATTAATATGGGCTGCCTATAACAGACGGTACGGATTTACTTTTCGGATATCCGCCGGCAGTGCGCATTACGCTCTTGCTATTGATATCGAACATTCCATACAGCTTTACTCTTAGGACATTAATTATTAAAGCAGCACTCAGAGGTCACTTTGAAATTAAGGTTGTTATCTAACTGGACCGCCTACATAGAAATATTCATTATGGCACAAAATCTAGTAATAAAATGAAATAACGACTAAAGGCTCGATAGCGTAAGATTTTGACTGCGGTGTTGCGGGGACGCACTTTTATTTTCGAGTAATTTATGGACACAAAAATCTAAATAATAAGGAAATATTATTTGGATTTCTGTGGTTATGGAGTAATTAGACCCACGCGTCACCAGTGTTGGCAAATTTTACATGTCTTTGAATATTTTATTGACAAGGCATGCAGGTTTTCTAGTAATGTTTTCCTTTATCGCCGATCAAGTCGTAAAACAGCGCTTAATAATGCAGTTACCAAGTTCATTGGTATCGTGCTAAGCTATCAAAGCTACAATTAGAAATTAGAAATAAAAAAATTCAGTTTTTAATTGCAAAAATATGATTCATTTTCTATTTATTTTTCTAAGTTTGTCTGGCCAGTACAATAATGTAAACATACTCAATTAATTTTGATAGAAAATAATGGTTTTTCAATATTATTTTTCTATTAAACTCTCAACAAATATACATAAATTATCAATTCATTCCGTCTTTAGACAAAAATGCGCACGCTTGAAACATGGATTTAATTTTAAGATACATAAATATGTACATAATTTTAAAATATCTCAACCAGAAACAATCGAAAATCGGTCTGTGGTTCTTCAAGATAGCGTTGTCGCCTTTATTGAAAACATGACCACCGTACTTT